GAGAAAGTTTCTCATTATTACGAGAAACTAAGTCATTATTACGAGAAAGTTTCTCAATATAACGAGATACTAAGTAATAATTTTGAGAAAGTTTCTCATTATTATGACTTACAGAATTATATATTTTTATTCAGTGGCGGAAACGGGCTTCCATATACAACAGAGCAAAGATACAAATAAAATAAACAGTGTTTTTCCTTGTTGAAGTTACAAAAGCTAGTCAAGCAAGAGAAGTGAGTGATTTCATTGTCTTGTGTTGTTTAATATTAAAGGGGTCATATGATGCTGCTAAAAAGAACATTATTTTGTGTATTTGGTGTAATGAAATGTGTTTATGGACATGGCAAATGATGTTTGCAAGGATACTCACAAAGACGGGCATGTTGACATTTTTTGTCAGTTCAAACGCAAGTCTTGAAAGAAAAATATATATTTGTGCGGCACGCACCACTAGCGTAGCCAGGAATCACAATGTGGGTGGGCCTAGCCAAAAATGCATCTGTTATCAAAATGGGCCAACACAACTACACCTGCTTGAATACACACCACCGTTTAATCACGCCCAAAATGTCTGGGATTTGGCTGTTTTTTTTTAATCCCACTTTCGCTGAATCTCTGACCATTGCCGCCTGCTCCCGCAACATATGTTTCGCTCCCACGATTTTCGTGTTCACTCCTTTAAACATTCTAATATCGTATATAATTTTGCAGCATCAGGGAGCCACTCTCAGTATGCAGAGTATTTAAATCTCTTTTGAATAAGCGGTCGCGCTGTTCACTTTCATTTTCGATTTCGCGATCACACGCACTCTGTGTAAAGGGAGCACATCTTAGATCTTACAAGATCAGTTATTTGTCCATGAGCTCAGAATCTGTTGAGCAGCAAATACTCAAGCATGGTCTTGTCAGTCATCTCTCGTTATTCTCGACTTGAAGTCAGTCAAATCTGACTCCTGCAGCTCTTCTTGGATGCAGGGTTGCCAAGTCCGTCTTTTTTTCCACATAATTGGGGTACTTTTAAACTGTTGCCATGGGTCGATTTTCCTAAGTGGGTTAAAGGTTTGAAATATTACATAAGTTACATTTCACTGAAATGCTTGTATTGAAACATTTTGCATTCTACCTATGATAAAACTATCATGGACTTTTACATCAACTGTTCCCTCCTGGTGGAATGACCTGCTCAATCCAAGCAGCTGAGTCCTTAATCGTTTTCAAGAAACGGCTGAAAACACATCTCTTTCATCTTCATTTGACCCACTAACTCTAGCACTCTTTATTATAATGCTAATTCTTATTTTATCTGCTTGTTTTTTTATTTAAAAAATTTGACCCTCTAACACAGGGGTGCCCAAACTCGGTCCTGGAGGGCCGGTGTCCTGCAGAGTTTAGCTCCAACCCCAATTAAACCTGGAGAATGGAGCACTGCTGGTGATACAGAAATTATACATTTATTTATTATTATTTATAAATGTATTTATTTTATTCATGTTAGCACTAGCAGAGCTGTTCAGCTCCTTGAGCGTAGAATAAGCGGGGGATGTTTCGTTTATACTCGAAGTATAAGACCTGCAGAAAGTACAAAACTCATAGAAGTAACGTATGACGTGCCAGGAAAACCCTAATATGGACAAAGGCATGAACGGCATCCAGCAATCTCTGCTGTAGCTAAGGGGCAGTTCGCAAACTTGTCTTCATCATTATATGGCAAACAAGAATCAAGAAACAATACAATTTATTTTTATTGGTCAAGTATTGTGATTATTGCAACAGAATTCCCAATGATCAGGCATGATCTGAAGCAACTGACCCAACCCACCCGTAGCTACGCGACTGGCACGCACTGTCTGACGAAGCTCTCCGCATGTGCACAGCTGTGCGCACTACGGATGAGTGTGCGCGTGCACACACACACAAACACACACACTTCTTCAAACGGCGCGCGTGAGTTCTTCTCGCAAAAAAAAAAAAAAAAGCAAAGCGATTATTCTTTGCTTGAATGTTTCAATTGACAAGGCTTAAAAACGCGCGCAAATGAGCTTAGTTTAAACACATATAGTGTGTGCTGTTCACCTGTGCTCGCGCACTTTAAACACCCGGGTGACGTGGGCATAAATGACTGGTATACTAGCGTGCTTTTGACTATCGTTTTCTGAGCAAACCGTCTTTAAATCAGTTGTTCATGTGTTTTGCTATAGTACAGCACTGAATGTTTTTCACAATAAACATTTGTTTTGTCATTATAGCTGTTGGTAACAGTCGTGTGCATGAGATCCTCCTACAGCATCTTGAATATCTGACCTCAGATGAATTAAAACTATTTAAATGGCATTTGACTGAAGGTGTGGAAGCCTTCAAAAAAATTCCCGAAGGTAAACTGGAGAAAGCAGAGAGATGCACTATTGTGACGTGTATGACTGATCAATATGAAGTGGATGGTGCTGCTAAACTCACTGTGATGATTTTGAAAAAAATGCAAAAGAACAACGATGCCAAACAACTGCAAGAAAAGCTTGATATGAAAGGTAAAGATGAATTCTCAATACACAAGCTTTTTTTAAAGCCACTCTTTAAAAGTACATACTGCTTTTGACTGTTGTCTGTTTACATATTACCAACTCACCACGTCTTTGTTTTCAGGCACAAACTGAACAGCAACCATGATGAGCAAGAGTGGATTTAACTGTATATAAAAATGTATTTAATATATATGTCTCAGTTAAAAGATCAGCTTAGATAAGCTTAGCAATCGATTCTTTAAGTCCATAAACTAAGGGTCTTTAGAGGAACACTGTACACATTATTCTCCTCATAGATCTTAACTTTTGTTATTTTAGCTAACATCATGCATTAATAAGTTCCTGTTGTAAATAGTCAATCAGTTTGCAGACATAAAGTCGCTTTTTAGCTATAGTAATTATGTATGAGTTAGGAAAACAACCTGGGGAAATACAAAACATCATATTGGTGCATGTATATTTTACAACTCATACCTATATTATCACTTGATGAATTATACACTTATCTAGGCTTGAACCAAAATAATAATCGCCATATCACCCAACCATATGGATGCTTTATGAAACATTAATGCATCATAGACATAACAGTATGACTTTCTGTAAAGCTGTTTTGATGTGTGAGAAAATATCTAAAATATTAATTTGACATGACACCATTGTCGTGTTCTTGTATAAGCATTACTGTCCAAAAGATATCTTTGTGATTCCATGCTGCAATAAAAAATTTTAAAGCGTAACTATTAAGGCTGCTTGTACAAAACAAACAAACACAAACTCACACACCTAAGCAAAGAAAAATAAAACTGAAAAATTTTACAAACTTACATTGTTGCATTGTCATACCATTCAAATCAACCTAATGAGGTGCTCAAATTAAGCCTTTCATGGATCTCATAGTCATTTTCTCAGAAGGAAAACAAGAAGACTGATGCATACGCCTGAAACATCCAATGATTGCCGATGCCTGTCTAAAAATGCTCACTGAGCACAAACTGACAAGATTCGACATCGCTCTTGACTTTTTGAACAGCATGGTAAAAGGAAAGGAGAGTAATTATGAGCAAATTTGCAAGAGCATGTTCATCACAAGGCCTGAGGGTCTGATGGAAAAGGAAGTTTTCCAAACTGATTCTTGACATCATGCATGAAAGTGAAATTAATACTGAGCAATGCATTTGTTCGTTGGAATTGGCTTCAGGTTTGTTCTCTGCAGACCCATTTTATCCTCAAGCACTTGCACGTTTTTATTACATTGAGGTGAAAGAGGAAAACAAATATGTTGAGGCAGAACACTGGGCAAAAATGGCAATTGAAAGAGACCCCCAAAATTCACATATCAGGGATACCTTGGGACAAATTCTCAAAAACCACCTGCGGAAAATCGGGATTGAAGCTGGAAAAACATGCACAGACGTAGAGAATGTTCTGGCCATTGCACAGTCTGCCATTGATGCATTTAAAGATGTAGAGAAAGCTGCCGAAAATGAGTCTGAAAATGACACTGGATTCCAGGGCCGTGCACAGACATTTTGAGGGGCAGTGGCCCAAACCAAAAAAGGGGCAGGGGGGTGGGTGCTTGCTAATACAATTGATCCAGTTGTTACAAATATACAATTAAAAGAGAAAACAGCACACTCTGTAATCATTTCAGACTTTATTGTAGATGTTTTGATAAGAGTGGGCTCTCCCTCACTCTCTGAGCCTGCTTCTGCCTCATCTTCAATGGAAGTAGGGGAGAGTGGGGTAAGTTGAGCCAGTGGGTAAGTTGACCCACCCTCTGTTTCTTGGCAACTGTATACACTTTTACTGTCATGTGACCATGTATTTTGGAACCACCCATCATTTCTGCCAGACTGTGAAAAGGAGAAACACCTGAGAGGAGTGGAAGGCACCCATTTACTTTAAAAACTGTTTTTGGCTTGTCAAAATGGTTGTTACATCAAAGCAAATTTATCCAGGTGTAAAAATATTTATGATACATATAGGTGATTAGCAACATATAAAACCATGCAAATCATTTAGCTAAATATTAGCCTGAACTGGTAAGCAACAGTAGCTATTTTTAAATGACAGACAGTACCAAAACAACCTAAATGATCTTTCTTCTCTGATCTCTTTTTATTTATTTATTTATTTTATTAATTGTTTTTTTTTTTTTTGCCACGTGATT